TACATAGGGTATTTTTGGACATGATCATTGCATTTCCCATTTGTCTTAGCCCATTTGGGTTTCTATAACAAAATAGAGTGGGTAGCTTAAATAACTAGGGATTAGGGGTACAGGAAGGGATTGATTACAAAAAGGTAGCACAAGGGAATTTTGGGGCTAGTCAGGGATGTGATGGGAGATACACAACTGGTGATGTCTCATATGCATCTCTCAAAACCTATAGACCTACATACCATAAAACATGAATTTAACTATATGTAAGATAGATGGATCGGTCCATTCATTCATGCATTTATTCATACATACATTCCTGCATAAATAGGAAGTAGTCAGTTTTATTAAATGTTTCAAGGTCAAGGAAGATGAGTGACAGGTTGTCCCTAAATCCATGGCATAATGGCCTATCCAGAGGTGTCCAACTTTTCTTTTTTTCTCTGTTGCACATTTGAAGGAGAAAAGTTGTCTTAGGCCGCACATTAAATAAACCAACACTAACAAAAGCTGATTAGCCAAAAAAAAGGTCCTTGCATACTTTTTGTGATAATTGACACCACAGACAAGCAAAACAATTTCTATAAAATCAGCATGTGGCCTGCAGGCCTCAGGATGGACACCCCTGGCCTAGACCTCTGTACATGTGGGTTCTGGACTATAGGCAGAATTGACCTACAAAATGCAATGTACATTTCAGTAGTGTAACTTCTATGGCCCTTGGAGTTTTCAGGAACACAAAGCCTGCTCCTTGGATGAAGAGGAGACCATAGTCCCTGGTTGTGCACCTGTGGTGGGTAAAATGTTCAGATAAGAAGAGCCTGGTGCTGGTTGGATTCCCAACTTTGGTTTTTCTCACCACCTCTCAGTCATGTGTTTACTCACCTGTATGTACCAGGCTGGACACATTCACAGGCTCAGCACCTAGCCTAGTGCCCCACATATAGCAAATGCTCAAGAAACAGCACTGACTTGTCCTCTTTCAGGATCAAGCTATTTTCCACGTTGATAATCTACCACGTTTTGAATAACTTTGGCCTTCTCTGAAAGGGAGATCACCCTCCGAGATGAAGAGCTGCTATGTCCAAGGATGCCTCACAGTACCTCAGAATTCAATCCAGCAGTTCCCAAAAAGAGAGCCCAACATCTATCAAATGGGAGTTCTGTAAATACTTGTTGGATAAATTCATACATCTTGAGAACTAGCGGCAATGTTGGCAAAGTATAGAGCCTTGAAGGGGCAACAGTAATGTAGAGCATCACCCCAGTAGCTTTTTGTGTGTAAACAAAAAGCTCAAGCGTGCCTTGGGACCTCCAAGTGGCAGTTTGTAGGCTGCTTAGGGGGATTGAGGTGTGCTTTTGTCTCTGAGGACCTTGGGGTTTCCCCTCCAATGTTTAGGAAGACAATTGGCAGGAAGGGCCTCCCCCAGCTCCCCTGGCCCCCTGCACATAGTTGAGGATGGACATGTACAAGGGAGGCAGATATCTGGGGTACAGGAATGCCTGGGCATGCATGGGACCAAAAGTCACTTCTGGGCCAAGGCAAGAATCTTAAAAGGGAGCCGTGAGTGGTCGCCTTACCTCCCGTTGCCCCTCTCCGACATGCATCCCCACCACCAAGTGTAGAGGGTGCTGGGATCATCCCTGTTGGCCTAAGCTCTGCTCCACCTGCAGATACATCTCCCCTTTCCTACACCCACCACCTCCGGATTTCTGCGGCTTAAAGGCTTAGGTGTGACCTTGAAAGCCTTGTGTGTACCCTGCTGATCTTTCTCTATGCCCTGGTGGGGATTTGAGCAGACAGAGCTGGCTCATGAGCATCATGCCCTTGAACGTGGCCCAGCAGCTCCTCCTAATCCCAGCAAGCCCATGGAAGGAGAAGGAAGGTTTTCTCAAGATCCTAGGATTAAATCACTCCAGTATTCAGAGTAAAATGTGGCCTGTCTGATCTATTATTCTGTCTCATTCTCTTGCTCACTTGTTCTCTCTTGCCCCACAAAGCCAGTTTTGTCTTCTCTTTTGCTTTCACACACCAAGGCTGTGGAGCTGTAGGGAAAATGGGTAGGGATGAGTCTGTAAGTTGACGATGGTCAGAGTCCTGGGCAGCCAGGCTCAGCTCAGTGCTGGGGGTACATTGTCTCACTCTTTATGGCCCCAGATTCTCTCATGATCCCCATCATAGGTGAGGGCACAGCCACCGAGGTGTTAAGCAACTTAACCATGATCACACAGGTCATAAAGGGAAAAAGCACTTCCTGAAGCCTAAATCCTTCTGCTTCTGTTTTTTTTCTCCTTTTATTTTGAGACAGAGTCTCACTCTGTTGCCCTGGGTAGACTGTGGTAACGTCATAGCTCTCAGCAACCTCAAACTCCTGGGCTTAAGTGATCCTCTTACCTGAGCCTCCTGAGTAACTGAGACTACAGACATGTGCCACAACACCTGGCTATTTTATTTTTAGTAGAGATGGATCTCACTCTTGTTCAGGTTGGTCTCCAACTCCTGAGCTCAAGCAATCCACCTGCCTCAGCCTCCTAGAGTGCTAGGATTACAGGGTACCACCAAGTCCTGCCTCCATCCGCTTCTAAAGACACTGTGCTGAGCACCTACATAGGTCATGTGTGGTTCCAAGCTGCAGCTGTTGGTGGTAAAGTTGGGCGGCCTAGTTTCCATTGAGGGTGCTCAGTGGTCTGAATTCCTACTCCATGCTAGTTTCTAGAGGATTTGACTGGGATTGGACAGTCCCCACCATCAGCTGCCTCCTGGGCAGGGTGGCATGGTTATCTGCTTGCTTTTGCAGCCTTTGCTAGCCTTGCAGGGCACACGACACACAATGAAGATGACTGTTTCATTGCTTTGCGTTTTGCAGCAAATTGTCACTGGAGAGGTAGAGGACCAGAGAGCTTGAACAATGCAGCCAAGATCATTCAGACTCACAGGTCATTGAACCAGCATCCCAATCCACAATGCACTTGATTTCCACTTGGCCAGAATAGCTCGGTGTTAGAGGCAGCCCCTAACCCTGGACAGAGAACGTAGGGTACTGCTGTGAGTCCTGCTTTATATCTTTATATGGCTGGGTGCTCTGAGCTGGTCATGTCTCTAAGCCTCATTTGAAAACAGATTGTAATTGATGGCTATGGGCCTGCCCATGGCTTTAAGATATGTCAGGAAGACTTGGATAGGGTACAGTATGATAGGTCACAGGCAGCTGGGAGCTCTTCTCCTTACCCACTGTCTGTCTTTGCTGACACATAAAGGCTATGCAGGGCATTCACTCTCTCCTCTGTGGCCCTCTTGCATATGCATGGGGGTGCAGAGCCAGGCATGGGCTGGAGTGTATAGTCATCTGTTCCTACCAAGGGCAAAGCCATTTATTTGTAATCCACATCCCCTCTCTGCTGGAGGCCAGACATGTCCTCAGCAGTAGAAAGATGGCATGATATTATTCTAATTTTGAAAGATTCTAATTTTTCAAACATTTTCAAAGATGTTATTCTAATTCCCAGGCTTGGATAAATCACCAGCTCCCAGCACACTGATTTGGAGAATCAGGAAATGTCTCGAATGTTCATGGCAGAAGTGTCTATTGATCTACACGGAAATATCCCAGCCCATTGCATTTCTCCTGGAAACAAGATCTTGGCCCCAGGAATGGAGAATCTCTCCCTTTATAATTCTCCATCTCTGAGCTGAAAAACCTTGAAGTGAATCCATGTCCTTCAACTGACAGCAACAATTCTATTAAAGAACTTTGATTACAAAGAGAGAGGAGAGAGAGAAAGAGAGAGAGGGAGGGAGAGATGTGAGAGAGGTAGAAGAATCTATTTTTCATTAAATGCTGCTTGTTTCAAAGTGGGAACATTTTCTGGGTGTCTGGGGAGCTAGTGTTTTCTGTGTCTTAACTGGAAAAATCTGATCTTAACAATGAGAGAAGTTCCCATATAAAGAAGAAGCCAGCATTTTCAGAGCTTAGGGCTAAATTATATTTACAGAGAAGGCATTTCTGTCCTGGAAGTTTATTTAACAAGCATTTATCAAGTGCACACTGTGAACCAGGTGTCATTCCAGGCACTTGAGGGGTTTGCAGGGATAATGGGATGATAAAGACTGTTATTTTTGTTAATATTTTTTCATTGGTTTATTGAGTTGATTGCTAAGGTCTACTGAGAACCTACTGTGTACCAGGGCTGGCCTAGGCATTGAGGATGCAGTGGTGAACAGGACAGTGTGAATGCTTGCCTTCTAGAAGTTTCTAGTCTAGCTAGTATGATGAGGATCAGTCTGTGGGGTACCTTAATGGGGATCTGTAGAAATGGCATTTGTTTGTGTGTACCTTTGTCCATGAAAGTGCTTATCTACTGGTCATCTCAAACAGGCAGAAAGGTGAGAGGGGATTATTTCTCTCTTACCCATAAACCATCTGAGGCAGGTGAATTGCTCAGAGCTGCGTGGCAGTACTGGGAAGGTACTCGAATCCTGAGCATTTTTTTTGGATTATTCCCATATTATGTTGGCTATTAGGAATAATACAGCTATGAGCATTCATTTACAAGTTTCTGCGTGGACATGTTTCCATTCCTGTTGGGTATGTACCGGGCAGTAAAATTGCTCGGTCACATAACTCTGTTTTTAATCTTTTGAGAAACTGCCAGACTGTCTTCCAGCGTTGGACCACTTTACAGTCCCACCTGCAATGTATGAGTATTCCTTGCCAACACTTGTTATTATCTGTCTCTTATACTGTAGCCATCCTAGTAGGTGTGAAGTATTTCATACTGGATTTAAAAAAACACAAGGCACATCTAACACATGATCAACTCGAGAGTGCTAGAGTATCCATCTGCTTTTCCCTAAGCAGTCTGCCCTAGACTGGGAGATTGCAGCCATCTCTCTGCTCAGTCCCAAGTCAGGCAGCTCTGCAGTTCCTTGGTGGACTCCCAAAGGTCAAGTGAGGTTGTCAGGAGGCCCACAGATAACTAATGGTCTGCTGTCTCTTCTTGTCTTCCAGCAATTCATGAGTTCCCCTCAGACCTGTTCTCCAACAAGGAGCGACAGCACGGAGCCGTCCTGCTGCATATTCTTGGTGTAAGTGGTCCTCGTGGACTGATGTCACTAAACTGGTGGCATGTGGAGCCTCCCCACAGGGAGGCAGAGCCGTAGGGTATCTGCAATCTTGTTTCATGCTTGTAACAACCCTGTGTGGAGAGCAGATTTTGGACCTGTTTTACCCACAAAGAAAAATGGTATCTTAAGTGTATTAGGTGATGTGCCCAGTGTCACACAGCACAAGAATTCAAGTCTGTCCTATCCCACATCTTCTGCTTTTATAAAATAGGCATGATGTATGAATGTGGGTCAAGTGCATCAGGCACTGTATGGCACACGATCAGTCCTCTGTGTGCTCGCTGTCACGATTCCCTAGACTACCCTTCCATTTTACCACCTTTAGTAGCTCTACAGATGCTCCTTGACTTAAGATGGTTTGACTTAGGATTTTTCAACCTAATGATGTTGCAAAAGTGATATGCATTTGATAGAAACTATACTTTGATTTTTTGAATTTCATCTTTCCGAGGGCTAGCGATAGGCAGGAGATATTCTCTCCTGATGCTGACAATGGCAGTAAGTCACAGTTCCAGTCACCATGCTATCGGGAGAGTAGACAACAGATGGTGTATAGCCAGATGATTTTGTCCAACTGTAGACTAATGAAAGTGTTCTGAATACATTTAAGGAAGGCTAGGCTGAACTATGACGTCCGGTCAGTTAGGGGTATTACATGCCTTTTTGACTTAACGATATTTTCATCTTAGAGATGGGTTTACTGAGACCTAACTCCATCATAAGTCAAAGAGCATTTGTAGTTTAACCCTCGGGTGCACTTCTAGTCAAACATTCTTCTATATTCAGATAGGCCTTAATGACTATGGTGGAGTTCAAGTAGTAACTCAAGAAGAAATGATGGGTTCAAACCTGAATTACAGGTCACTCACTTGTGATGGAGTTAGGCAAACTATAGCCATGGGGAAGTCTGGCCCTCTGCCTGTTTTTGTAAATAAAGTTTTATTGGAACACAGCCACTCTTATTTCTATATTATCCATGGCTGCTTTTGTACTTCAGTGGCAGAGCTGAGTAGTTGCATCAGAGATGCTATGGCCAAAAATATTCGCTATCTGGCCCTTTATAGAAAAAGTTTTCTGACTCTATTATATGGTATGAGGAGACAAAGATGGTCAATGTTTTTTCTCTACTTTGGATCAGCCACAGAAAATTATTCTCCTGATCAGCTTCCCCGACCACCCAGCACCATCTGCTTGTGTGTTTATGCCCAACCATGTATTAGTCTTTGCACAAGATAATTAAGAAAGTGAAATCTGGGATTCCCACATAGATAGTAACAACTAGAGAATAATGAATGAGCAAAGCTTTAATTAACAGGATAAACCATTAATAAAAATGAAGATTAGAGTGAGACTTTTAGGCAGATTTTGAATGACAAGCCTATTCATTATTTTTGTGATAGAGTTATTATCTTTCTGGCTGCTCTGGCTTTATATTCCCTCCCCTTTCACTAGGCAGCGTGGACATGGCTGATTGTCCCACAGGCCCATAATTCTGCCTCATGAAAGTCTTGGCATAGCTGAGACAAAGGTTTTTATGCTGAACTGAGCACACCTCCAGAATTTTGCAGGAATCCTTTAGAGTAGGGATTACCGAATGAGAGTAGAGGACCAAACCTAGCTCACCACCTGTTTTTATAAATAAAGTTTTATTGGACTCAGGCCACACCCATTCTGTAGCTGTCTTTGTTCTACAACAGCAGAGTAGTTGTGAAAAAAAAATTTGACCTGCAGAGCTTAAAATATAACTATTTATATAAAAGTTTGCCAACCTTTTCTTTAGAGCATGAAAAGACCTTAACTTAGGAGTCCATTTTGTCTGTGGTGTTCCCTGGCCCAGCAGATGGAAATCAGGGTGCTATCTGGGGCCCCCTTTTTTGCCAGTGTTTCTGAGGGCATCAGAGGAGAAAGTGGCCCTTTGGCCTCATAGTGGATGATTGCTATGAGTGTGAATTTGAGGCCCTGAACTGTGTAGCAGGGCCTCTCCCACTTGCTCTCTCCCCTTTACCCACACCCTGCTATAAAGAAATAAATATACTCGGTGTCTGTAGTTCAGTGGTTAGGGCACCGGCCACATGCACTGGGGCTGGTGGGTTTGAACCCAGCCCTGCCTGCCAAACAACAATGACAACTACAACAAAAAAATAGCCAGGCATTGTTGTGGGTGCCTGTAGTCCCAGATACGTGGGAAACTGAGGCAAGAGAATTGCTTAAGCCCAAGAGTTGGAGGTTGCCATGAGCTGTGATGATGCCACGGCACTCTCCTGAGGGCAACATAATAAGACTCTGTCTTAAAAAAAAAAAAAGGAAAAAAAAATAAATATATTTCTTTGTGCTTTCTGCCTAAAAGATAATGGGTGAAATCCAGGGACAGTCACTGCTAGACTGTACACCTGCCTCAGATGCCCCAGCCACAGCTAATATATCATCCACTTTATTTAAGCATAATTAATTGATTGTGAGTTTGTCACACTGATTTGGCTGAAGCCACCAGGCTTTTCTCTTTGGCAAGCAGGGCCTCCATATCACTTTTTCTTCAAAGAAAGAAATGGCTTCCCCTGATGCTCAATGTAAAACCCTTCTCCTTTCCATGGGTCCTGGTCCTTGCCTCTCCCTCCAGCCTCACCGGCTTTGTTCCACCTGTTGTTCCTCAGATGCATCAAGTGCACTCTCTCCTCGGGGCCCTTGTACTTGTTTCTCAGGATTTACAGATGCTGTTTGGCTGTTGGTTTGTTCCTTACTGGGGTGTGTTATGAGAGGGTTTTGCGGGAGTCCTCCCCACCATATCCCTGCTTCCTAGAATGTGCCTGGCACGTAGGACAAGCTCAGGGAAGCCCCACAGGATAGCTGCATGTACGTGCTGGGCACGGAGAAGCTCCAGACATGAAACCCTTTTAATATTATCAATCTGTTCATATGTCATCATTAAACCAGTGAGGATACCGAAACCTAGAGATTTAACTTATCCACAGTCATGTGGCAAGTAAGTCCCAGAATCAGCATGAGAGTCTGGATTCTTTCCATAAACCTCCTAGTTTGTAAATGGCCTGTGTAATTTAACATGTGACAGCTTTAGGTAATATCCCAGGAAATTATGGGTTTCAAGTTGCCATTCGTTTCAGCAGGGGGGCTCTTAAATTTTTTCTTCTTGGCCCATAGGGTTAGATCTTGCCTTTTGAGGGTGGACTCCGGTGCTAGCAAAGAGGCCTGCTTCTTTAAGAAGAGAGGTTTAAGATAGGAAAAAACTAAGTGTTTTCCCTGCTATCTAACTTACCATATTCTGCTTCATCTCTGGTCACCAAGATGTGTGTGGGCTTATCCCCCCACACACTAAGCAATTCAGTGAACACCAACTAGTTGTCTCCTGGTTCACTTCAATTCTGACACTGTCCACCCAGAGACAGTATCGGCTCCCATAGGATGAGGGCTTAGTCCCACAAGCTGGCCCCCACTTCAAATGCCATTTGAAAGCACCTGGCTGTGACCTGTGCTTCTCACCAATCAATGATAAATCAAAGTTCTCATGACCCCCTGATCGGGTTTGACTAATTTGCTTGAGCCAGTTATGGAACTCAGGGAAACATTTAACTTCCATTTGCCCATTTATTAAAAAGATTATTACAAAGGACATAGACAAACAGCCAGATGGGAGAGATACAAAGTGTGAGGTATGGGGGAAAGGGCTGGGGCTTTCACACACCCCTCCCAGGCACCACCTTCTAGCAAGCTCCATGTGAGCCCAGAAACTCTTCAAAGCATGTCTTTTTAGGTTTTCATGTAGGTTTCATTACATAAACATGACTGATCACATCATTGGCCATTGGTGATCAACTTGACCTTCAGCCCCGCCCCAGAAGTTGGAGAGTAGGACTGAAAGTCCCAACCCTCTGATCATGCCTTGGTCTTTTTAGTGACCAGCCTACATCCTGAAAGGATGCCCCCAGCCACCAGCTACCAGTCACCTCATGAGCGCTCAGAAGACAGTCCTAGGGTTTCAGGACCTATGTGACAGCAGCTCCAGTCAGAGCCCAAACACATTTCTTATTATAGCCCAAGATCACAAGAGAGGGGGAAGCACAAGATCCCGTGGCCAGAGTTGCAGTCCCCTCTGCTACTTGGCATGTTATTGCTCCCTTCTGGGCCTCAGTTTCCCCATTTGCCAAGGAGGGGATTGAGGGAGCAAATCTCTCCAGTGCTGGAGTTTTCCTCCGTGCCACTCTGTCCACCTGGCCTCCTGCCTGTGCAGCCTAGTCTGGGGTGTGGTGGATCTTTGGCAGGTGTCCTGACTGACCTGCCTCCTCTCTCCCTCGCAGGCTTTGTATATGTTCTACGCCTTGGCCATCGTGTGCGATGACTTCTTTGTTCCATCTCTGGAGAAGATCTGTGAGGTAAGTGGCAGAGTCTGTGGGCGCCTTAGTGAAGCCTTGGGAGGTTGGGGAGCAATTGAGGAGACATGCATGTAAGTGGCAGGCTGAGGAGTGGGGAGCACACTGGTGGTGAACACTGTTACATCAAGCACTTAGTGTCTGCCCCACTGCAAAACCTCCCTCAGAAAGCCCTGGATTACCACTCCTAGAGCTTGGCAGAAGATGATAATCCCAGTGTGAAATCATTACCCAGACCTCTGCGTCCACAGCAGGCCATCGGCATGTGTGCCAAGCCTGGTCAGCTGGGGAGTCCAGGCAGCCCTGCAGACTGTGCTGGAATGTTTCCATGACCAGCGTAGGCGGCAGGCGGGGATTTGCACTGGGAAGGGTGCTGGGCTGCGGTGGCAGGGGATTCCCTCTGTCCTAACCTCCTCAGGCTGACATTTTCTCCCCTAATTATCTTGTTAAACTTTTACTTTCTTTCCTCATTTCTCCCCATATACAAGCCCCTAATCTACTTTATTTTGTCTTACTCTTGGTTTCTAGTCAAGAAAAGAAGACAACCTTCATTTGCAGCACTACTGTGTACAGAGTGCTCGGGCTTTACCCCCCTTTGTCCCTGTGAAATCTCCAAGCTGTTAGGGGCCATGTCACCGTGGTGACATTTTATAGCTGGGAATACGGTGGTTAGAGCAGCTGCTTCCCTATGACTTTCTCTGCCGCTGGGCACCATTTGGGGAGCTTAGTGTCACTCCAGGGAAGGGAGTGGCTGCTTTAGGCTTGGGTTTCCCCAAACAAGGAGCTGACAAAGGTATATCAAGGCCCTCCCCTCCCTGTCCCTACCCTCCCTCTCCACTTCACACCCCCTTAGATGGAACCACATGCTTCCTCCATCCAGATCTGTATCAGCGAGAGAATGGAGCCACAGGAAGAGTGTGAGGAATAGACATAGGACAATGATCACTGGGATGTTAGTGCACGAGGTTTGACCTTAGGCCCCCATGGAGTGGTGCACAGGGGTGGGGAGGCAGTGGGCCTCCTGGAGATAGCCCTCAGAAAGAATGCAGTCAGCTGATCCTTACTGAATACATACCCAGGCGCCCACTAGGCTGAGAGCTCAGGGAGGCCACAGCCACGGGGTTGGGCCACCTGCCCCTCTGGGGTTGACGGAAGCCTGTGGAAGGTGGGTGATGACAGCACAGCACTGCATTCAGTGGGGGTATTAGGTACCCCATAACATTACCTGTATCCTGGAGGACAAGAGGGGTGATGGTCCTAACCCAGTAGGTGAGATGATGTAAGAGGGTCAGTGAGAGACATGACAGGTCCAAGGACCCACAGGCAGGGAGGAAGCATCTGTGTTGGGGACAAGCCCAGGAAGAACCCATAGAGGAGGTGGCTGAGAAGTGGGAAGGCGTTTAGCAAGCATAGAGGAGGGAAGGACATTTTAGGCCAAGGGAATGGCCCAGGAAAAAGCAGGGAGGAGCCAGGCAGGAGGTAGCACAGTCTGGCCTCTGCTGAGGGTCTTTGGAGATGCTTTGGTGTCAGAACCTCTTCTGTGTGGACACTTGCCATTTAGCAGGGTTAAGGTGGTGGGGTCCCGCCTTGGGTTTCAGTACCGTGCCCAGCCCCAGCCTGTGTCAAACCCAGAGCTCTGTCCCTTCTGAGAACCCCTTCTATGGCCAGCTGATAAGTGGGGAGGTTTATGTAGGCACAGGGGTTCCTTAGGGGTTTGGGGAGGTGGAGTCAGAGGGGCTTTTGGAGAACATGGGGTGAGCTACCTCAAGTTGGCATTCAGGTAGACCCTGAACCTTCTTGGTTTCTCCAGCATCCAAAGCCCCAGCACCACATTTCAGATCAGAGGATGGCTCTCTGTGGCCAGAACATGGCCTCGCCAAGCGGAGCGGGCCTTGACCAAAAGTTCCCAGTCCTGTCCCATGTTCAACCTCTGGGAATAGGACCTCTGGGATTTTGTGAGCCCCTTCTGGATGTCTGGCTTGTCGTGAGGAAGGCCTTATAGAGTGCAATACCCAGCTGAGTGTTGGGACCTCCGGGTACCACAGTCCTGATGTTGTCATAGAGGCCCTGTAAGCTATGCAGATAGAAGGGGACAGTCACTAGACTGAGGTGCTCCTGTGAAGCGCCATAGTGTACCAGACCCTGTTGTAGACACAGGGGATTCAAAGATGGAAAGGCCAGTCATTGCCCTCATCACCCAGTTGGGAGGCAAGCACCTGGCCTAGAAATTCTCACGTGTAATTTGTGTACCAGTAGTGGAGGATAAGACATATCATGTGTCCAAGGGAACTGGCTGGCCCTGGGTAGGCACACAGGACACTTCATTAAGGAGATGTTACTTGGCCAGGGGCTTGGAAGATGAACAGAAAGTAGACTGGTGGGTAAGGGGAGAAGGAGGTTTGAGCTGAAGGCCTAGCAGAGGGCAGAAGGCAGGTGCTCAGGGCCTGGGGATAAGAGGCTACAGCAGCAGAGGAGCCTGGTTATAGTTGCAGCACTGTTCTCCTGCTCCCCCCTGGGCTGCTAGAGTGTCCAGTTATCATGTCCATTGCCCTCGTGTCACCCCGAGTGTCTGTGGTCACTTTTATTTCAGAAACTGCGTCTGAGTGAAGATGTGGCTGGGGCCACCTTCATGGCTGCGGGAAGCTCAACACCAGAGCTGTTCGCCTCTGTCATTGGTAAGAAATCCCCGCCAGCCCCAAGATATGGGATCTAGAGAGAGCTCAGGTTTAGTGCCCAGAAAGTGGGGACAGTCACCAGTTCAGAGCCTCAGCTTTCTCATCTATAAGACAGACAGTTGGTATCTTAGGGTGTGGGCTGCGGTGGGGTGCTAGGTGGGTTATGTGATTTCTTTTTGGGGTGTGACGATGTTCTCAAATTAGACTGTGGTTAGGGTTGTGTAATTCTGTGAATATACTAAAACCACTGAATTGTGTACTTTACATGGGTGGCTTTTATGCCATGTGAATTGTATCTCAATAAGCCATTCCCCAAAAAGAGGATTAGTGTATGTGGTTTCCTGGAGTATCTCCACCTCCCTGGTTCTGCTATTCGATAGTAAAAATGAACAACTTACTTCTCTGTGTTAGGGGGATGCTGAGGAAAGGGCAGGCCAGGGCTGTGTATTCAAGGGTCGGGCTTTGTGGCTTTCCCTTCCAGGCGTGTTCATCACCCACGGCGATGTTGGGGTGGGCACCATCGTGGGCTCTGCTGTGTTCAATATCCTGTGCATAATCGGAGTGTGTGGATTATTCGCTGGGCAGGTCAGTGGTTCCCCCTAACCCCAGCCTGGCAGACCAGTGCCCTGAGGTGTGGAGCATGAGCGTCTATGATAAGAGGTTGGATGGCAGTGGGGACACCCAAGACCCAGCCTCAGCTGTGCCAAGAGCTCCTTGTGGCTCTGGGCAGGTCAGTTTTCCCTTCCCAACAGTGGCTAGCTGAGCCCCTCCTCTAACCCCAGCCCAGAGCTAGTCCTGATCCTGGCTTGGGCCTCCCCAGCAGGGAGCATGAAGCTGGCTTGTTGTTGACACCCCATTAGATATCCTCAGAGCCACAGAAGAATGTTGGACTTGACCTCAGAGAGGTGGGCTCACTAATGGGCAGCTGATTACACCCGAAGGCACCAGATCATGTAGGGAGAGCCAGCGCCTCTGGCTTCTGCTGTGACACACACACTGTTAGGACCTTGGAGGAGGAGAGGGTAGTTTTGCCAGCTTGAGAACGTTACTCGGTTTTGTTGTTCTCCCAATGGACCAGAGGACAGGGGTTGGTCCGGAGTTAGGAGGAGCTCTGTAGTGTGCCCTGTACCTGCAAGGTCTGGGCAGCTGCACAGTTTGAAAGGATGCGCCTCCCCTGACATCAGCAGCTGATGGGTCTCTGCTTGGCAGGTGGTCCGTCTGACGTGGTGGGCCGTGTGCCGAGACTCCGTGTACTACACCCTCTCCGTCATCGTGCTCATCGCGGTGAGTTGCCCGCGGTGAGTTGCCCCTCCCACTCCAGGTGTTGGGTCAGCCAGGGCCCTGCAAAGTCCCAAGACATCTGCCCTTCTCTGTCCCTGGCACTGTAACCAGAGGACCATGGGCACGTTGGCCAGTTGCCCTCCCCCTACCCCACCAGCATTCTCTTTCTTAAAACACTCAGAAGTGGCACCTTGGTTATCAAGCACATCCAGGCAGCATTCTGAAGACGTGCGTGCCTTAGAAAAGCCACAGCACATGTCACTTGGTCTGTGCAGTTAAGCTCAAGCACTTTGCACATCTGAGGCTCTCTTCTTTCCCTATTTCAGCGGACCCAGTTTTTAAAAGCAGAGTTTGTGATTTCACTGTTTGTAGGGTGGGAAAGAGAGAGCACCAGCCTGGAGTAGCCAGAGGTAGCAGCTGGGAGCAAGGGAGGAGCCAGGAGGAAAGGAAGAAAAGGCAGAGGCTGAACAGGAGCCCCCCAGGGGGATCAGTTAGTGAGGGATGTCCCCCTGTGGGCCATGAGGGCTGGGGCAACACCATAGCATTTGACAGTGAAGTGCATGTGACAGTCACATATTACAAGGAACGTGTCATCCACAGGGGAACATTTTAATCCAAAAGACCTTTAAGGTGGTGGTACAGGGGCAGGTGCATGTCTTACCCAGGCTCTAGGGGTGGACTATGCCCATGAGTGACAGTTCTAACCAGACCTAGAGCCAACTTTTGATGATAGTCGTGTCCCTTGTACTGGTTCTTGGTTACTGCATAACAAATTTCTCCCCAACTCAGTAGCTTAAAATAAATGTTTATTATCTCCCATTTCCTGCGGTTCAGAAATGGCTGTGGGCAGGCCCTTGGCCTTTGCTGAGGATCCCGCAGGGCAGCTCTCAGCGGGGCAGCGGGCCTCCCTCAGAGCCGGGGTGAGAAGGTGCTCAGATGGAAGCCACAGTCTTTTTGTAACTGTATACCCAGGAGGGAGGCCCTGTCACGTTTGTCACATTCTGTTTGTTAGAAGCAAGTTGCCAGGTCCAGCCCATACTCAAGGGGCACATGAACTTCAGGTGTTGGAACATGATGTCATCTTAGAGGCTGCCTGCCGTAGTCCAAAAATGAAATCTGTGGATAAAATATTTTACCCATTCACAGTTTTAAAAACTGTTATAATGCCCTAACTATAATATAAAGAGAAATAAAGTAATGTCTAATAAAAGAATACATCTTTCAGTGTGTGAATGTTTTGGTATAAAGATGCTAAAATATCCAATGAGGTGATCTGCCGTCCCAGTACAGAAAACCTAAACGGAGTGGGAGTATAATTGTCCCTCAATTTGAGCAACATTACCTTATTAGAAAATTAAGAATTTTGATTTGTAAGATGAAGTTAGGTTCAAAGCTCAGGTCATTGTTGTTCACTTGCCTGAATATTAGGATACATAAGACTTGGGGCAAATGTGGAAAAACTTCAGCCACTAGCACAGTCCTGTGTGTTTTTGCCTGTGTGGCATCCTTGTCCTCTACTGCCTCTGAATGTCGGTAGCTGTCCATTGGGCTAAACACTAAAAATAACCCTGTAAATGTGCCCCAGGATCCCCATGTTGTGGCATACCCTTCCTTTATGGGGTGCCTCTGCCTCAGAGCCTTGAGTTTAGGGAATGCTTGACCAGGAAGATCCTTTCAGAAGTGGCTTCCTAAAGCAGGTATTATGTGTGCCACCCACTGTGACAGCAGGGAGAGGGGACAATGGGCCCAAGCCCAGAAATCCACCCCCCACCCTGGGCTCTTCTGGCATCATATGTAGGAACCCTCATGTCTCTACAATCAGATTGGTGGTAGCAGCCTCTCTACCCTGGGCCATGCAGGGATGGTCACAGGACCATGAAAGATGCTGGGTGGGGGTTGTCAAGCAGTGTCAGCATCCTGTTAGGAAGCCACAGGTCCTTGCTGTCACCCCAAGCATCTTTTCAAATTGTATAAGCTGGGCCTTCATTCTTGGACTTTTCAAAGGGGTTATGAAAATTATACACTCCCCCGACACACACACACAGACCCATACATGGACATATGTATGTAGTTATCTTTCCGGTCTTTGAGATTTCTTGATCTTAGCAGCTCTGCTCCATTAATGAGGGGAGGCTCCTGCCAAGTCAGCACCCAGCAGCTGCTTGGACTATTGAAAAGCATAAGGTTTATAACAGTCTAAGGACGGTTTCTAGGGACAGTCATGCTAAGCTGGGGCTGCATGTTGCAGTATCCAGCTAGCCTAGATTTCATCTAAGGATAGGCCAACTTCTGCAGGTGAAAAACTCAGATGTGGAGGGACGAGCCTGGCATTGTGTTACACACGTGACAAGGCCAGGATGAGCTGACTCGGGGTGTTGAGGGGTCTGTGTTTCTTCTTCTTTTGGAATAAATGGGTTTCTCCTTCCCCCAACCCTCTGTTTCTTTTGCCTTCCAGTTCATATATGATGAAGAAATTGTGTGGTAAGTTTTTAAAGTTTATTTTTTGTCATTATTACTTTCCAGTATCCTTGTTTGTTGAGTTCACTGAATCTTTTAAAAAACTATTTTACATTTAAAAAAATTATTTTACAAACATAAACTTACTAACTTGTGAAGGTAAACAGGATCGCATTGTAAGTAATCATGCCTTTAGCCTTTCAAAGTGAGGAAATTGTTTCTTTTTTTTTTTATGCCCACACTGCCTGATGTCATGATATATTATAAAAGATAAGCATGACAGTATGGAACCCAGTAATGTGTGATATGACAGAGATGTCATGACAAGGCAGAGAATTGGGAAGGAGATCTTAAATTCCTAAGAATAACTGGGAATCCATACAAACAACGTAACATCAGATCCCTACCTCACACCTTATATAAGAATAAACTCCAGGTAATCTAAAGACTTTACTGTAAAAAAAGCAAACTTTTAAAAAAAAGTGGCTAGGAAAATGCAGACTTACTTTTATAACACTGAAGTAGGAATTGATTCCGTAGTTAAGATACCTAAAGCACAAATTTCTGGGGTACAAGTTAATATTTCTACTCTATTTTACAGGGTGTGAATGCATCTTACATTCATAAGCCATAACAATTTCTTATTCCTGACAGTGATTCAGGGTCTGTGTCCTGCATAGATTGTTTGTGGGAATATAGCCAGATAGTCAGGCTGAGGGCATCCACTGCCTGACACAGAAGCTGTGTGTGCTGTAGGCCTAGAGAAACCTCATCCCTTTCTGGCCTCTAACTCACCACTGTGTGACCTAGAGAAGGTCTCTTCGATTTTGTGTTCCATGTTCCTCTTGTGTAGATGGAGTTAGGGTGGTGATGGTTAGATGACCTGGAGGTCCCTTTCCAGCTCTGCTGGTCTGTGAGTTCTATATCAGCAAAGGAAGTGCTCCCAGAACACCTGCAGCCCACACCAGACACTAGAGCACATCAGTATTTAATGGTCAGATTATGAACAAACTAAAGCTTGTGTGGCTCCTGAGAGGCTTGTGGTCAGAGGTACGAAGCCCTCTTGGGCTGCGTTCACAAGAGGGTAGCAATAGGGCATCCCAGAAAGATCCCTGACCCCACTACGCTAGTGTGTGGCCCAGGAGGCTCCTGCCCTGCCCACCAGCCCCCACTATATCCATTCAGTTCTTAGGCCCCGTCCCCAGGTCATGGGCCACTTTGCACCTATAGGCACTGCTTCTCTGGTTCCAATCAGAGGCCTCTAAAGGTCAAGTCTGTGTGACTGCAGGCCACTACCCTCCCTGAATGCTAGGATGTGGTGGCTTTGGCCCTTCCTTTTCCCAGGTAATGAGGGGAAACTCCACCTGGTACTGTAAATTCCTGTAGTTGAAAAGAACCCTCTTGGCCTTTTCTCACTCTGTCTCCAAGGGAGCTTCTAATGGAGACATAGCCACAAGCTGGGCATCCCTCCCACACACCTGGGTCCTGGGCTGGGGACTGCTGGGTCCCAGCCTTCATGTGCCATGCCCCATGCTCTAACCACTGTCTTCTTTCTCTCTTTGAGGTGGGAAGGCCTGGTGCTCATTGTCTTGTATGTGTTTTATATCCTGATCATGAAGTAAGTACTCTTTCTCTTTCCCTTTGGGCTGTGTAATGCCGTGTCCCATGGCATTCTCCTGCCTTTTGTTAGAGCAGGGAGGAAAAGCTCTACCAGATCTCTGGTGACCACCCTGTTGGGGGCAGCCGGAGTTGGGGAGAGGTGTTCTGATACCGTTTGGGGGGTTCTATCCACACCCAGGTCAGGGGAGTCATGCTGGGTGGTGGGTACGTGAGGAACGAGGTTGTACCCCAAACACATAGCAAGCATCTTGGTCTGCCCGGCTCTGGACAGCTTCTCCATGCCCCAGGATGACAACTCTGTTTTGCTGTCTCCATACATCTCCTAATAATATAATACCACTCTTTTCAGAAAGCCAGGCAGGTTAAATTCTACTCCAGGCTTCATAAAATGCCACTTCTCAGGGTCACTGCTTTGCACAACTGCAGAGGGTACCACTTGTAGTACTGCGGATGCCAATACTGTCCCAGGTTGTGCAAACTCAAGCTCCTCCCTTCCCAGATGAGAATCATCTCAAACTACCTGTGAGGAATATTATTCAGCCAGAAAAAGGGATGACATTCTGACAGCCTGTAACATGAGTGAACCTTGAAACCATTGTGCAAAGTGAAAAAAGTCAATCACAAAAGAACAAATGATATATGATTCCACTTATGGGAGGGATCTAGAAGATTCAAATTCATAGAGACAGACTATAGACTCAAGTTTAGTGCAGGGGCCAGGGGACGTGAGTAATAGGAAGCTATTGATTCCTGGGTACAGAGTTGCTATTTGGAATGACAAACATATTTTGGACATAGTGGTGATGGTTACACAATAGTATGAATAATTTATACTGCTGAATTGTGCACTTAAAAATGAGAGTGGTTAGAATGGTGAATTTTATTACATATATATATATGTAATATATATATAACTTTTTTATATATATCTTTGTCCCTCCCCCACATAACCCTGTAAAAACAAACCAACCAACCATAAAAACTACCTATGAGCCAAGCTATGTCAGGTTTATCTTCCTTCTCACACCTCCAAAGGTAATTAAAGAAAAAGGCAATACTCTGGGTTTATAAAAATAGAAATCTCCACATTTATATAAAACAGTTACAATGTTTTATTAAAAATGAGTGATTGGTGGTGCCTGTAGCTCAGTGAGTAGGGCACCAGCCACATACACCCATGCTGGCAGGTTCAAACCTGGCCCAGGTCAGCTAAACAACAATGACAACTGCAACAAAAAAAAGCCAGGCATTGTGGTGGGTGCATGTAATCCCAGCTACTTGGGAGTCTAAGGCAAGAGAATCACTTAAGCCTAAGAGTTTGAGGTTGCTGTGAGCTGTGACTCCACAGCACTCTACCTAGGGCAATATAATGAGACTTAAAAAAAAAAAGGGTGATAAACTGTCAAACTGCAAGACAAATTTCCTTAAGTGACCTCTGAGTACCTTTCAGAGGAGCTGGCCTGATGTTCTCTGGGGTGGAGAGAGACTCTCTCCTCTCAGGGACTGTGGGTGTAGGGGGACTCTACATAGCCCATGTAAGTGGATCTGCAGAGGAGGAAGAGGACAGGCTGGTGAGGCTTCCTTGGCACTGTCCCTGAGGCCAGGCTGAAATTCCTTTATTACTACAGGTTTATAATGTGCAGTGAGTAGGCGCCAGGCATTTTCTCTTATGACTCCAGGAACCCCTCTGCCAGCTCAGTGAAAATAGGTGCCCTCCCCAGACTACATATTGTACCCAGGCTTGTGTCCGCAAGCTATGTCATCTCAGTCCAATAGCGGAGGTTCCACACAACCCACGAGGTCCAGGTGCCCAGGGGCAGGGTATAAGGCCCAGCCAATGACCCCTCCCCCCACACAGCTGGTCTAAGCTCTGCCTCACCTCACTTGCAGGTACAATGTGAAGATGCAAGCCTTTTTCACAGTCAAACAAAAGAGCATTGCAAACGGCAACCCGGTCAACAGTGAGCTGGAGGCTGGTAATGATTTCTGTGACAGTAGCTATGATGACCCCTCCATGCCATTGCTGAGGCAAGGTAAGGCTGAGCAGACAGGATGGCGGAGCTCTGTCACAGAAGCCACTCTCTTCTCTTTCTTGCATACGTACACACATGCAAATTGTCATTCTCTCACCTCTCTCTGGTCATGGTGCCCTAAAAGAGTCAGTACTGGCTCGGCGCCTATAGCTCAACCGGCTAAGGCGCCAGCCACGTACACCTAAGGTGGCAGGTTCGAACCCCCAGCCCGGACCCGCCAAACAACAATGACGGCTGCAACCAAAAAATAGCCGGGCGTTGTGGCGGGCGCCTGTGGTCCCAGCTACTTGGGAGGCGGAGGCAGGAGACTCGCTTGAGCCCAGGAGTTGGAGGTTGCTGCGAGCTGTAATGCCACGGCACTCTGCCCAGGGGGACAGCTTGAGGCTCTGTCTCAAAAAAAAAAAAAAAAAAAAAAAGAGTCAGTACTGGAGAAGTTGCTCTGGTTGGTGTCACCCAGATGGGGGGAAGATGGAGGGGAAGACACAGGGGAAAAAGAAAAATCAGTAGTTACATACCTGGGAGTTTCTCCAAGCCCCTGCGGAAACTCAAGACCTATGTGGCTCTTCAGAAATGCAGCAGTGCCTCTGAGTGAGGGGGCTGAGAGCTTAGAGTGGCAGAGCTGGCCTGGGCCTCCCCGTAGTTAATCAGATGCTGGTCTGGAGAGACCTTCAGCTCTCAGGCTGGAAACAGTTACCCAGAGGAAGCAACAAGGGCAGCAAAGGCAGCCCCAAGGCTGAGCAGGCATCCTCCATGCCCAGAGAGCCCTGCTGGGAGCCTGTGGCCCGGGAGCAGCAGTCTCATTTCCTCAGTTGTTCTTTGTTTCCTCATCTGAAAACGGACGGGGGGCGGGGGCTGGGGTGGGGGGGGTCCTAGGCCTCTGGACCTGGCCTCTGTCATGTTTTGCCTAATTCCCCAAATCACCTAGGCCTGACTGCCAACACTTCCTTAGAAACCATAATAATCTAGCCAGAGAGGAGGTGATTCCCTGTGGGGGCAGCTGCCAGTTAGGATATGGAAAAAATGGTCCAAGTCCCACCAAGGCATTGTTAAGGCCTTAACCAGACAGGGCGCCTCAGCTGGCGCCAGCAGGGTCTTTCTCCATTATTTCCTGAGGCCAGGGCGGAATCCTGTTCTTTGTCAGGTAACTCTTCTGTGTTGTCTCTGGTGGGACCAGGTGGTCTCAGAGGGGACTGCTTGCCTGAGGCTTGGGGGGCCAGACTGTTTGCCTGACATTCGGGGGCCGGAATCCATTTTCTGTGGCCTTCTTTCCAGTCATCCTGGGCTAGATCAGAGTAGGTGTTTCCTCCAGGTGCATTTTGAATAGGATGTTCTGTTCCAGGTATTTTGAATACCTGTGCCTGTCTCAGGTAACCCCTGAGAGGATAACACGGCCACAGGTGCCCTATTGAGGGATGACTCTCCCCATAGGGAAGGAAGAAGCCAGTGGGGGTGGGCTGGGTCGGGGTCAGGCCACATCCTGGTTTCCATGCCCACCCCTGTGGACAGAGCAGAGGAAGTCCCCTGAGCTTGGAGTTTGGTTCTATGCCCTGTTTCACAAATGCTGAGCAGACCACCCCAGGGGGAGCTGGTTTTCAGGACAACCTCCTCAGAGGGGGTGGGGACAGTGTTGGCCACTGTTTTGGATTTTAGCTCTACAGACGCAGTGCCTCCAAGGGGCCTGTCACAGGTCCCTATATCCAGGCTCGCAGGACAGAGGCTGGTTCCTGCCTGGTCCTCTGGGCCTTCATGGCAAAGAAAAGAAACATCACATGGTGAGTCATTCAGGCCAGTGGAAAATACCTGCTTCTTCCCAGAGCTACCTGCCACATGTGGGACTGACCAAACAAGGAGGCCCCTCCCTAATGCCCCACAGGAAGCAGCCCTTATTTCAAGGTGGTGGGGGGGGGGCCTCAGCTTCTCACCCTTGCTGGAGAAATCTAGGCTCTCCAAGGCTGCTGCCCACTGGTGCCTTTTATGGGCTCTGACCCGATTCTGTCTTCATCACTTTCATACCCAGGACAGTAGGTCTTTCCATGATTTTTTATCTGCTCCCAAACATATTTAAGACCAGCATAAATCTAGAAAACTAGAAGATTGGGCCCAAGACTCCCTCACTTCCCTGGGCACTGGGGATAGTTACTCTGCAACTTGACCAGAGTACATGTGTTTAGATAAAGGCCACGGAGAAGGTGGTTCCAAGAAGGTACAGGAAGAAGAGGGGATACAGCCTGGACCACCAGAACTGGGAAGTGGAGAGGCCTAGGAATGCAGGTTTTGGGTGTTTTTACCCTAGTTTTTACTGCCCCATCAGTTGCTCCCAGAGGGCCATGCATGTAACTCTGTCCCCCAAATTGACTTGACCCGAGAAGGGGGAAGAAGGGCACCTGGAACACCCCACATGGCAGTGGGACTTTGGGACTCTCCCCTTCCTAAGAGTATTGCTGTGGAATCTTCTGGCTAGAGATGATGTCAGAGTTTCCTCCCATCCTCAGCTCCACGCAGGTCTCTGTGTGACCACCCCACTGAAACAAATGCAAGGGATGCTGGCTGGGAGACTCTTTCAAGAAGGCACACACTCTTCTCAGCCTCACCTTTGCTGTCATCAGTTTTGGTGTTTCTCATATAAAATCAAAATTTTTATTACCCAACTTCTTAACCAGAGAAAGGAAGGGTGGGTCATTTTCTTCACCACTCTTATGATAGCCAGGGCCACTTGACTGCTAGCCACCTCATTGAACCATGCTAGTCAAGCTCCCGAGGATCATGGGATCCTTCTAGGCCCTGGTGGCTTTGGCTTGGCGCAGGGAGGTTGGAAGGCAATGCCTGGCCTTAGGCTGAATTGCCAGAACACCACGCTGCCATTGAGTTCTCTCCTGGGAAGCCACCCTGGGCTTGGGCACACCACCTTGTCACTTGGTAGATGAGACCAGGACAAGGTGTCCCAGGAGCCAGATATCATGGCTCTTGTTTCACAAGGTGCCAGGCTCCCTCCTTCTGAGCCAAGTTGTTCCCCCAGGCTGGACCTGGCTTTGTAGGATGGAGCTGAGAGCCCAGAGGTTTTGCTGGCATCACCTGCCCATGAGATGGAGGCTCCTGAGGGAGGGATTCTAATGTCCCTGCAGCAGGGTGGGGATGGGGACAGGGGTGCCCCTGGTCCTCAGAGTAGAAGCAGAGCCATCAGACTCAGCCAGGAGAAGAGCCACCCCGAAGGCCTCAGGCCCCAAGCCATGAAGCTCCCTGTAGAAGGAAGCTGCTACTAACACCCTTCTTCACGTAACCCCCGGCATCTGCACCACCATCGAGACTGCTGCCCCAGACTCTTGGTACCCACCGTGCGCTAATCATCTCTGACAAATTCTGTGGGCCACTATCTCCTTAACTCTTCTCTTCTAAAATTGTAAGTAGTCAGCTTTCATCCAAGCATAACACATGCATTTAAAAAAAACAAAACTCAATCAACCACAAGCCCAGTCAAACAACGCATGCCTCTTTGGAGGTTCGCGTCAGTCTCCAACCAATGCATGTTATCCTGGCTTTGTTTTCTAACCCATATGCCTCCTGTCTGCTGAGCCGCCTTGCTGCCTGTTTGGTGAGGAATGTGTGTGTTTGGTGTGCATTTGTGCATTTTGGTGCAGTTAACTCTGTCATGGATTTACTCTATAGACCTGTTTTCTGGTTGCCCAGTTATGTTCTCTGGAAACTGGTAGCCAGTGCACAGGGACAGGCATATCTGTTTTTACAGTTCTTTGGTGGGGGAAAACTCTGCCTGCTTCTGCATGCCATGTGCATGAGCAGTTTGGTAACCACACTTCCTTGGGACCTGGAATCAGATGTCAAGCCCCTCTGAGTCCTGGCACTGCACCTATTTATGAAGGTGGCAAGGTGGAGGGCCAGGGATTAGGGAGTTTTATTCTGTCTCCTAGAGGGAAGGAAAGGGTCAGAGAGAGCAGCCTTCTTCCTGAAGGGTGTCGGGGTTTATCAGAGTCACTGGGCTCAGCCAGCAGCTCACTGTGCACCCTCAGACAAGCAGGCCCCTCTTTGGGGTATTAGTTGCCTGTATAAGGGCTGTGACCCAAATCGTTGATCTCATTGCTTGCCTTTTGGAGAACAAAGTTAGAAGCATCCTCCCCTGTAAGGTTGAGTTAATCACTCAAAGACAGAGCAAGTGGCCTCATGGACAGCTCAAAGCCAGTGCTATCCACTGTTCTCCAGCATTTGCTACTCTGGGGTACCTTTGTTGATTTGGGAAGCTTCATCTGAGCTCCTGTAAACAGGAGGAAAGAAAAGTCTCCCCACAGTCTTGGTGAAAGGTGGCAGGGCTCTGTCTCTATTGTCAGTGGCTTAGAGGAAGAGCTGGAAGACTCTTGAAATTAGCCCAGGAGAAGGGCATGGATGTGAGTGCTTGTGGGTGGCCCTGTAACAGGGACCCACTGGGCTCTACCACATGGTACCAGCAGGTGTTTCAGAGCTTAGGTACCACTTTGACGGCTGGGAGGAGCTGAAGCCAGGTACCCAGACTTCAAGGTGGTTGCTGGTGTCCAGGGCCACCGCCTAGGCGAGTTCCCAAAGCAAGGGGAAGTCAGTGTCCCCTGCGTTTGGACACTGTCCTCAGAGGGATCGCTGCTAATCATAGTTTGTGCTCAATAGTGAAGGAGAAGCCACAATATGGCAAAAGCCCGGTGGTGATGGTGGACGAGCTCATGAGTTCCAGCCCGCCCAAGTTCAGCTTCCCGGAAGCAGGCCTGCGCATAATGATCACCAACAAGTTTGGGCCCAGGACCCGACTGCGGATGGCCAGCAGGATCATAATTAATGAGGTAAGTTTGTTTACAGGACAGTGAGAGTGAGCAGCCCCTGGTGGGCTCAGAGGGGACCCTGGCGTGTTTGGATTCCTCCCGAGGTCGCTCATGGTGCACCTGTTTAAGGAAGGAAACTCTGGTACCTCTAGAAGTTTGACCATCGCCCACAGGCAGAAAGTTTCCTTTAAAACAGGCATGGGCCTGAGATGTTTCACTAAGTAAGCAGTAGAATAGAATTAATTGCAGAAAAGCCAGTTTGAAGGATTGATTGTTTCTTTAAAATGTTAGTTAGGGCAAGAACGAAAAAAGATATCTGTTCTCTATGGACAGAAAAACTCTGGAAGAAAACTTGAGATGCTGACAGTGGCCTCTGGGAACTTCCTCTTTCCTCTACTATGCTTTGTCTATCTTATTTGAAAAAAAATTTTTTTTAAATATTATTTAATACGCAAATAGGAGAGCAAAGATAACAGGCTATTGCTTCCCAACTTTTCCGGGGTTTGCTGCATTTGTGCACACTGGAATTTTAAGTCTTTACTTTCAGAAGTACACAGTGGCCATCAGGCTTCACACTTTGCTAGCTAATAATTAGTAGTTAGCACACAGATTACATGCAAGAACAATATTTCATAATGCTTAAAGTTTCTGTATTTTGAACATACACAACGGGCCCTCTCTGTGGAAAGTATACTAAACAAGGGAAACACCTTTGCAAGATTTGAATCATTATACATCATTCTGGTCCAATTCAGTAAAATTTGAATCAAGGGAATTTGACCGAATCCAGGCAATATTTCATGAGCGTGATAATTGGACTCACTGGGGGTCGGAACTTGAACAGTTGTTATGTGCAGCCAGGCAAAGAACAGATTTTAATAAGTTGATAAAATGGTTGTGCCCCAAACATTTGAAGCTCCTGATAAAATTCATCTTGTACCATGTTGGAATTGACCTGCCCTGAAAGGTAGCACAGGGAGCCAGAGGGGTGCAATTCTGAGTTTTAATTTCAGCTGTACCACTAACCTCCTTGATCTGAGGCTATTGGACAGGATATACTCAGCTCTAAAAACATTGGTGACAAATACTGAAATCTAGGCCTGAAAGTTAAACAGTGGCTTTAGGGAAATTCTTCACGGAATGGGAGTTAAGGAGAATAAAGCCCACAAGATGCTCAGTATCCCAGTTCTTCATTAGGACCCTTTGGTCTCATTTCTTCAGTCATTTTAATTCCAGAACATTACAGAGATGTTTGCAAAGCCAAAATTACTCCATGGCAGAAATGCCTATGGGGTTGATGACCTTATTTGTTCATTATCAAAGAGGGCAAAGCAGCTAAGAGAGGGTTTGCGGGAGGCTGGGTATGTGGCGGGGTATGGGAGGTGGAAGGACGGCTTTGTTTTCCTTCATTCCAAAGCTGCTCCTGATCTGTCTTGACAGTCCTCACCCAAAGCCTCTGTGGTAAGTTACCAACAGGGCCCAGAAATGCACCTGCCTTTGGTCCCCCCACTCCTGTGAACCTGTTCACCTGGTCACTCACCTCCTTCATCCCCTCTGTGCTATACCTGGATGCTGTCATCTTGAGCCAACAAAACTGACTATAATCTACTGAGCACTTGCTATGTGCCAGGCAGGTGCAGGACATTTTACCTGTGCCACAGCTTTAATCCTCTTTGTGACCTTCCTCTAAGACACTGTGATATTTCTAATTTGTCAGAGAAGTGAAATAAACTGCACAATGCCACACAATTAAGGGGCAGAGGAGGGATTCTAACCCAAATATGAGTCTAGACTCAGAGACAACATGCATGCATTCCTCGGGGTCAGCCTGGTCCACATCCCCAGCCCCTTCCTTCTATCTCTTTATTCCCTTATAACATCTATCCCCTGCCTCTCCACGTGGCAGCCCCACAAATATCCGCAGCAATTGCCACCCCTAATTGTCTCTTTGAACGTAACATCCCTGGAATGGTGGCAGGGTTCCCTCCCCAGCCAGCTGCTCTCCTACGGATACCTTCTGGTGTGTCCCTCCCAACATGTGGCTCTTTCACCTCCCTTGGTTTAATCACAACGTTAGTTTAACCCTGTGGACCCTGATGGCCCACACCAATTTAACCCATCTCTTTTCCACAATGTTTAATGCCAACAACTAATAAGTAAGTGAACTGGTTTACTGGGCTCTTAGGATTAAGCCACCATTACTGAGAGTGGTTTTCTGGGTCTCGGGTCCCTATGTTAATACAACTTGAGCTATCTTTAGATATTTTTCTAAGTACTATTATTGATTCCAATTAATCTGGAGTTATGAGCCACTCCGCCCAGTCGCCAGCATGCATGTTACTAAGTCAGACCTCCACTACAGTTCCTTCCTTGCATAGCTAGTTTTTTCAGACTCTGAAGGTGACCTACCATTTAACTTTACTTGGGTAGCAAAATATTATGCCTCAGTGTCTGGACCTGAGTCTCAGGCAGAGATCGTTCTGTTCTTTTTGGTGAGCTAAGTATTATGGACTCTTTATAATGGAAAAATTAAAAATTCCCACCCCACCCTAGACTTCATGATTTAGGAGTCCCTGCCAAAAACCAACATGAAGGCAGTTAAATGGTCAATTCTTTAGAGAAATAAAGTAAATAGAAATCATTTAAGTGATAATTGCTCTTCACCCCATAACTTCACCCCAGGATAGGTGCTGGGCACACAGTGATAACAATATTGTCTTGGAGGCTTGGCACTTGTGGCTCAAGCAACTAGGACACCAGCCACATACACCTGAGCTGGCAGGTTCAAATCCAGCCCGGGCCCACCAAATAACAATGACGGCTGCAAAATAGCCAGGTGTTGTGGCAGTCGCCTGTAGTCCCAACTACTTGGGAGGCGGAAGCAGGAGAATCATTTGAACCCAGGAGTTGGAGGTTGCTGTGAGCTATGATGCCTTGACACTCTACCCAGGGTGACAGCTTGAGGCTCTGTCTCAAAAAAAAAAACAACCAATGTTGTCTTGGGGACATGTTTCCTGTTCCCTGGCCTCCTGCTGAAGTAATTGGTGGGGCAGGGGTATATGTGTCCCATGCGTGACAGTCATCTCCCGTAAAACCTAAAGGTGATTCATAAATATTTTTGCTGAGAACCAGAAACAGTGAACTGTGCAAAAGCAGGTAGGTTCTTAGGAAAGTGGAAACTATTGATTTCTTGAAATATGGTCTCTATCAGTGCCTGGTTTAGCAGAAACCCATGGGCCTGGGCTTGGGTAGAAGAGAGGCAGCCTTTGTCAATAGCCACAGTGAGATGGGGGTAGGGCAGGGCTTGGATTTGATCATGGACATTTGCCTTTGAGAACACACTCATTAGATTCAGTGAAAGACCTGAAAAGGCTCAACAAATAGCTAGGACATCCAATAAGATGTCCAACATCATTTGTCGTTGGGGAAATGAAAACTAAAACCACAATTAGGCACCAGCACACACCCATCAGAATAGCCAAAATCGAAAGGACTGATGGTATCCAGCATTAACAAGGCTGGGAAACAACTGAGATCCTAATCCGTTGCAGGTGTGAGTGTAAAATGGTTCAATATGCACCTGTCTTTATGACCTGTCATTCCCACTCCCAGGTAAATACCCAAGAAGAATGAACAAATATGTCCACAAAAAGACATGTACACATGTGTTGGTAACTGTATTCTTCATGATAACCAATTGCCATTTATGATTTAATAAAAATAATTTTAAAACATTGCCATCAACAAGTAGGGGCTACTATGTGAGTTAGTCATACAACAGAATACTATACAGCCATAAAAAATGTCCAACTCCTGACTCATGCAATAAGGTGGGTGAATCTCAGGGGCATTAAGTTGCATGAAAGAAGCCAGAATCAAAATAGCATGTAATATTTGAATCCATTTATATGAAGATGAAGATGTTTATGAAAGTCAGCATAGTAGTTACCTTGGTTATCTCTGCTATGGGACTGGAAATGTTCTACAAGTCTATCTTGATGTAAACCATCACTGAACTGTGCACTTGAGGTCAGTACACTTTTTGTATGACATGCCTAAAAAGAAATTAAAAATTACAAAAATCCTGCAGGGCTTTCCTTGTACTGTCTTCAGGTAGCTGTAACACTCTTGCTGGCATCATGGGCTAGGTTGTAGATTTGGCACTGAGAAGGGGAGGCTGAGACCCTCCAATAAATCCTCAAAGGCTTCTTGGTAACCATCAAATAGAAATGAACAGTAATTTAGATGGATTTCAAGGTCCTTAGGCTGATTCTTGGGCAAACCTATCTTCCAGGGCAGTATTCTAGGAACCAGGGCAATAGAGTGACACTTTTATCACAAACCTTGGTATCTGACTGGTTTCCTGTCCTCCCAGCGGCAGCGACTGATCAACTCAGCTAATGGTGTGAGCAGCAAGCCGCTTCAGAATGGGAGACCCGAGAACATTGAGAACGGGAATGTTCCTGTGGAAAACCCAGAAGACCCTCCGCAGGATCAGGAGCAGCACCCGCCACCACAGCCACCACCCCCAGAGCCAGAGCCGGTGCCGGTTGAGGCTGCCTTCTTGTCCCCCTTCTCCATGCCCGGTGAGTTCTGGAGGGTGCTGGGGCATGCGGGCTCCATTGCAACCAAGCCCAGGTCTTCAGAGTAGAGGCCTGGACCTGGAGGGCCATGGAGAGCTGGTGCACCACGTTGACATGCTGCACCAGAACACTCAGGAGGCACTCAGAGAATCCACCGTCAGTGCTGAGCTAAGGCCAGAGCCTTGGGCCCCAGAACAGGCCAGCTGTTGGCTTGGGAAGCACTAGTGACCCCTAGTGACCGCACTGAAATGTTCAGGACAATTGCTTCTTTCACAATAAGAAAAAGCAACCAATGTTACTTTTATGGACTTCCTCAGATTCTCTCAACCCTTGCTGCCCAGGAAAGCCACTTTGCCTGTGCGTTGCTTACTTTCTGGAATGGGATATTCTAAGGCCACAAATAGCTTTTAGACAGTTACACTTTATATATTTGAAGACATCTCCTACCCTAAATAAGTCAGATGAGACAGAGACTCAGCCCCAAGCCCTTCAGACTTCACTTGGAGTCTGGCCTGTCAATCACCCAAGTGCCTGCTCCTTACTGACCACCACCTGCCCTCTGCTTCAGTAACACTGGCTTCCTCCCCAGTGTCGTTTCTATAGCTCACTGGGAGTGCTCCTATCTGAGGGCCTTTGCACCTGCCCTTTGCTGGGATGCCCCACTCCAGTTATCTACATGGCTCATACCTTTGCCCCCCTTGGGTCTCTGCTTAAATGTCGCCTTATTAGTATGGACTTCTTCGGTCACCTCATCTGAAATATTTTATATTTTTCTTATCTTTTATGTCACCCTCTACTAACGTGTCAGCTCCACAGGGCAGGTACCTTTGTCTGTTGCATCACTGCTGTGTCCCCAGTTCCCAGGCCTGGCACAGAGCAGGTGCTTGGTAGATAATCTGTCAAATGAAGGAATTCAGATGTGCATGTCTGAGAGGGTCCCAGAACCCACCACGTCTGCCTTCCTTAACCAAACCTTCCATGAGATCATCTGCAGTCCTAGGTGGGAGATGAAGGCCAGAGCTGTTTAGTCCCATTCCTAGAGGACTTTTTCTTGGTATTCACTATTCTGAAAGGCAGCAGAATTAGAAAACTTGATGATTTTCTGAAAAGGATTCTGTATTTAATATTGGGCTCACTGAGTGCCTCTGGGAGGTGGCTCTGCAGGGACAGAGGCTGCCCTGCCTCTTGCCCTGGTTCTGTGTGAGCGCCTGCCTCCAGGTGGGTGGCAGGGGCCTACCAGGCTGAGATCCTCTGCCTCTGTTTGCCATGGTGAAAGTGCAGACTCCATGTGGGGTCACAGGCTTCCTGTGAGTCTCCAGGACACACTCATTGCAGCTACCCAGGGGCTCTTCCCAAAATACAGGGACTAGCACATAAGGACGACTCATTTCTTCATTTCCTTTAAGCCTTAAATTTGGCAGGATTGGGGGAGAGGACCCAGGACCAGCCTCCATTTTGCCTTGTGCTTATACTGGAGACAAGTGGTTGTGGAGGTCTCTGGGAAGGTCACCTCCTGGGGTGGGAAGCTTAGATACAGCTATCTTGCAAGGGCTGGGCCCAACTGGCTCCCTGGCTTTCCCTGCTCCCAGGGTCTCTGCATTCCTGAGTCCTTCTCTGTGGAGTTTTGCCCTTCTTTGGGGTGCAGGGCTGCTCGCTTAGGAGGCCACCTTCTTCCTCAAGCCAGTGGCTCCAGGACATTTCCCTGGGCTGAGCTCATAGACAAGCTTCCTGTGAGCTTATCTTCCCTCACTCTTAGGCGGAGGCCAGGACTTCTATATCCTTTTGTGTCCCTGCGGATGTGTTTCCAGGTGTTGCCCTTGGAAACCACAAGTTACTTCCTGTGCTTCCTCCCCCTTCCGTAGTGAAGGAAGTTGTGTGGAGTTGCTCGGCCGCTGCTCAGTTTGGGTATCTACAATGGCAAGAAAAATTGAACCTGGTGTGAACAGAGGTTTACAAAAGCTGGAGCAAGTCAGTGAGACTCTGTACCCAAGAGAAATCCCATGTATCCTGCTCCAGGCCCTTCCCTACGTACTCACCCACCTGTTGGGTTTCCCAGAAGGGGTGGAAGGGAGCCCTGAGGGTACTTCTCAGGGATGGATAGTGCCACTCTACTTCAGGTTGGGCCCCTAGAAAGAATCATGGGGGCCAAGGGAGGCACAACATCAGCGTTACAGAAAGAGGAGAGAGGCTGTCCCACTGGTCAGCCTAGAGTTGGTATAGTTTCCTGTGTCTGGGAATGAGTCTAGCCATATTGATGGAGTTCTTCTCTGTTTCTGGGGACGGGCTGGGTGGCTGGCTCAAAGTCCAGGAGCCCTGGGTTTAAATCTCAGCACTCAGCAGTTCTGTGGCTCTGGGCAAGACACCTCACCTCCCTGAGCCTCTGCTCCTAATCCACAAAGGGGGGCCGGGGGGCAGTATACTTACCTCTAGGGGCGATCTGAACAGTAAATGATGTCATTTAGTCCAGGTCCCTGCTTGCTGACACACAGCAGGTGTTCAGTAAAAGTTAATGTGGATCATAGTGTGCTTTAACACATGGCTGCTGTTATCCTCCCCATTGGGACTACAGGCGGTATTCCAGAAGGGTCACAGGTGCCTGAATCCCGAAGGGCCTGGAACAGTCGGTCATTCCAGGGGTCAAGGAAGGAGAATGAATGTGTACTAAGCACCTGTTATGTGCCAGGTGCTGGGCTCCAGGCACTTTGCAGACCAGATATTCTCTTGGCCAGTAGACACTTGGGTGCCAGACTCTGTCCTGGGCTCTGAGGATCCAGATAGGAACAGGACAGCCAAGGTCCCTGCCATCTGGGAGCTTCCAGTCTTGCAGGGCAAATCTAAGCAGATAGTGATGTGATATGCTTTGTCCATTGTCTCCCTCCCTTACTGCACAGTCGATGGGTGGGGAAGAGGGTGCTCCCAGCCTGCTGTCCTCCTGCTCTGCCCAGCAGATGAGGGATGGCTGAGATTGCCAGGGCCCAGCCCAGGAACACCCAGCCGCACCCTGCTCTGTGCCCACCTGGTCTGATGGTAGATTTGTATGTGGACACCAAATACAGTTGTGCTCTTTCCACTTTTGACTTCACACACTGGTAGTTAGACCCTTGGGGCTGGCTGTTGGCAGGGGGAGAGGAAGAAGAACTCTTTCTCCCACAGACACCACAGTCAGCAGTCCTGGCACTGCCCTGAAACAGTCACTCACAGTCCTCAGGGAAGGCCCTGATATGCTTTGTTTATCTATGACCAGCTTATATTCTGGGTGTTCCTACAAGACCACTGAGGCCCACACCTCAGCCCACTGCCAGGACTTTTCTCTCTTGCCCCTGAAGGATAAGGAAATTCATAGTGCTTAGTGGAACACACTGGCCTTCATGGCCACTTTCATTATTGCAGCTGACATTGACTGGGGACTTGGCATATGTCAGGGACTAAGTAAAAAATAGGGGATTCTTACAGGGCTGTGTCTTAGCTTGGGCTGTCATAACAATGGCATACACTAAGCAGCTGAAACTTATTTCTTCCAGGAAACTGGAAGTGTGAGATCAGGTTGCGAGCATGGGCAGTTTCTGGAGGGCTTCCTTCCTGACTTGCAGACGGCCGCCTTCTCTCGTGGTGTGTTCACGTGGCCTATTTGGTGCATGCACATGGAGGGAGAGAGAGAGGTCACCCTATTCTTAGAAGGCTACTATTGGGTTAGGACCCCACTCTCCAAATACAGTCACCCTGGGGGTTAGGGCTGCAGCATACCAATTAAGGAGAGGGCACAGTTTAGTCCATAGCAGGATCTCAAAGAACTCTGTGTGCCACACTGTGTTCTGAGACCTGTATGTGTATCCTTTCATTTAAGCCTCACTATGGTGCATCACAGACGTGATACTATCTCCACTTTACAGAGAAGGAAAGAGAATACCAGAGAGATTATGTGACTTGCCTGTGGTCTCCCAGCTAGTACGTGGAGAGCAGTGTCCACCCTGAGCAGTCCGAGCTAACTAACCACTGGGTAGAGCTGCCTCCTTGCTGTATGCACTTTTGTTTCATCTTCCTAATTGTCCTGTGAGGGAGTAGTATCATTAGCCCCTTTTTATAGAGAGGGAAACTGAGGCTGAGAGAGGCATGGGACTTCCCAAGTCACACAGCCACTGCATGAGAAGTGCTCATTCTTCTACCTGGGCTTCCAGCTATGAATACCAGCAAGGGCCCGGCCAAATGGGAGCAGATCATGAGCCCCAGGCTGTCACGTAGCCAGCATGTGCCCTTAGGTATATTCCCTCAGCTTAGAATACAGTTCAGCTTATTTCAGTGAGGAAACCGTGGGATAAGTGTGTTTCTCAAAAGTCCAGGCCTTTGGACATTCTTGGAACGGTAACAAGAGGTAAAAACTTACCAAGTACTTGCTCTGGGCCAGGTAGGGTGCTTTAGCTCTGTTGTGATTAAATCCTCTTGATAACCTTAGGAAAATAGATACCATCATTCTCCCATTTCACAAGTGAAGAAACTGAGGCACAGAGAGACTAACTTGCCCAAGGTCACACAGGAAGAGGGGCAGGGGTGGGATTTGGCACTGACGTTCTAACCCCAGACCCCAGGTGTGCTCAGGGGACCGCGCTGCAGCCTAGCCAGCGGATTCCTGGCTCTCCTTTCTATTGGAGCCCAGAAGGAAACTGGTTACCTCTCTCCAGGGTGCTAGCATCTTCTGGTTTATCTGCAGGGTGCCGAAGAACTTGTGCCTGGGTTGAGTAAACTGTTGAGTTGGGTTGAATTGTGGACCTTTGGGGATCTCGCATGTTCTCTTCAGGACTTGGCACCACTCAGCCTTCTTGTCCTTCATTATAACAAACCCCACTACAGACAATGGGAAGGCCTGGGGAAGCCTTCAGGGCGTATTCTCCATATCACCTCCAGCTTCCTCAATTCTAGATAGCTCTTGAGAGAGCTATGCGGGTTGGGAGGAGAGAGGTGATTTTTGTCCTTCTAATCTCAGTAATGGGGTGTCGCAGAAAGGAACC